GGCCAGCCAGGCCGAGGAGGCTGCTCTTGCCAATGCACGGCCTGCCTCCTGACTGCCTGAAGGGCCAGCCAGGCCGAGGAGGCTGCTCTTGCCAACGCCGAAGTGTGCCAGGGGCTGGCGCTGCAGCATCTGCTGAGGCTGGCGTGGATACAGGCTAAGAATAGCCTGTTCCCGAAACCCTGGTTTGGTGCCTGAGTTTCAGGGCCGGTTGTTCACCAATAGCCCTTCGTTTCACGCTAAAAAGGCTCTTGCCATTTTTAGTTTGAAACGACACAGGGACTGTAGGCCCCTGTTTTCAGGCTGAATTCTAGGCTTTTTGGCTGAAGGGCGCAGGGCCTGGAAAATGGCCTGCGTGTGCAGACGCAGCATGTAACACCCCCCCCTCCTTGTGAAGTCAAGCCGGGGCGAGGGCGAAGCCGACGATCTGAAGGTGGAACCTGGACGCGGGCGCGGCGAAACCGGCTTGCCTTGCATCTTGCTTTCATAGCGTGCGAGAACGTCTGGAGCTGTTGCTTGAAGTTCCGCACGGGTTAACCAACGGTCAGCTCGGTGTGTGCAGTATGCAAAGTGCACCAAATACTCAATTGGCTTGTTGCCGTAGCGTCGCTGGGAGATGATGTCGCCGACCTCCTGAAAACCGTCCATAGAAGGTGGGTCTTGTGTACGTCTCCCGGGAAAATCGTCATGTTCCGTTGGCGTGTAAAGAGCCAACTTGGAGCAATGAAAGACTGGGTAGACCGGCAAGTGGCCAGGCAGCTGAATCGTGAAGGAAGGTCCCTCGGGTGCGTCCCCAGCGGGCGCTACGATCGGCCAAGGCCCCATCCATTTCAGGAAGCTTGCGAGAGATGTCTTGTTCAAAGGCTGAATTCCGCTGCGGAAACCCAAACAAGGTCGCCTGCGCGGAATGGGCAAGGAAGACGCTGGCGATTGGCCTGTTGGCTCATGCGCTGCTGCGTCTTAGCCATCTGATCGCATGCCTTGACAAGAAGCTCTTGCATCCAACGCAAGAAAAGAACATGGTCGTCGCTCTTGACCGTTCGTGGAGTAATAGTGTCCAACAGTGAAGTGACCGGCGAGCCGTGCTCAAACTCAAAGGGCGACATCCCGATAGCCGGGTGGATAGATGAGTTGTAGGCCAACTCGACATCCGGCAGCCGCTCAACCCAGTCCTTCTGGTCGGGGCGGATGAGAGTGTGAAGGAGAACTTGTGCGGTCTGATGCGCCCTCTCTGTCTGGCCATCGGTCTGAGGGTGGCGAGCTGAACTGGGCTTGAGAGATGAGCCCCATCGCTTGATGAGTGCCAACCAAAAATCGGACATGAAACGAGTGTCGCGGTCGCAGACGATTTCCTTGGGGTAACCCTTGGTTCGAATCCAACCGGCGTAGAGAACCTCGGCCAACTCCGGTGCCTTGGCATGATAGCGACAAGGCAAAAACATGGCGAACTTGGTGAGTCGGTCGACCACCGTAAGAATCCCATCCACTCCGGTCTTGTACTTGGGGAACGGGCCGGTAATGTCCATGGCAATCGCTTCCCTTTGCCTCAACGGAACTGGCAATGGTCGTAACTCGCCGTACGGACGATGGTTGCGGGATTTGCAGCATCGGCAAACCTCGCATGACTCGCAATAGCGCGTGACGTCGCCGAGAAGGCCGGGCCACCAAAATCGCTGGCGAAGTCGGCCAATCGTGCGATTGACTCCAAAGTGTCCGGTGGCGGGAGCATCGTGGAACTCGCCAAGAAGCCGTGTACGCAAGTGAGGATCACTTGGTACGCAAAGAAGGTCCTTCCCCCG